AAAAAAAAAAAAAAAAAAAAAAAAAAAAAAAAAAAAAAAAAAAACTGTTGAGGGCCATTTGGTAGTAATAAGTGAAATTCCAGAGTCCCGACGTATGCATGAGCTTATGGATTGGCAGTAACCAATAGAGTCTGGAAATACATTTCAATCCCGAAACACCAATGGAGACAGAGCAAACAGGCAGAGAGATGGCAATCTGCAGTACTCAGCTACCCAAGCCTGCTCATCGAAGCCAGAAGAAGCCTAGTGAACGAATGTGGAAATTGTTAGATTCAAATACATAAAAGGATGAAGGTAAGTCAAGATAGAGATGAATTAATACAGATCAGAAGGTTTCAGTCACAACTGAAAATGAGAATGCATAGAGGATGGTCACAGACCCAAGATTTTTGGAGGATTGAATAAGACGATGCACTGAAGTGCACTTAGCAGCACAGGGTCACTGCTTCCCTCCCTTCTATCCCTTGTAAGGAATTACTAAAAATGGCCCAATGTACATTATTTGGATTAGTCCATTAGCATCCAGTATATCCAAGGAGGGGGGCTTTTGCTGCACAGACAGGTGGAGCTCAGGAAGGTGAATCAGTAAGTGTGTTGCCCCAGAGTAATTTGGCAGGTCTCCAGAGCCTGACCACAGCCTCCTGGTGGCTAGGTTCTCTGGCCAGGAGAGTGAAGAGCCTGAATGCTGAAGAGAGGGTGACACCTGAGGTATGGAGTCATTGGAGCCAGTCATTCTTGACAGATGGTGCCCAGGAGGGGGGATTGCGTATGTCTGGGTGCAAACACACACACGTACACACACACAAAAATATTGTCCACATGACCTCTTTTTCCAGAGACATGTAAGCATACTCAGATTCATCTTTGCAGGGAGCTGTGCCACTCATCAATGTCACAAATGAGAGTGGGAGGTGCAGTGACAGTATGTGACTCTCCCAAAACACAATCAACAAGATCCATCACAGGGGATTCCAAGGACAGATTCTGAAGCAGGCCCACCATGGGGATCTCAGCACGCTGCTGCAGGAGACACCTTCCGAGACAGGGCAGGGATAGTGTCCCTTGGGTCTGGAGGTGCTTTGTGGTCTCAGGGGGCAGACGGGGATTACTAATTCCATTGTTTACAGTTGGAGAGGCTGAGGACAGAGAGACTAACCCTATTCGCAGAGTCACAAAGCTAGTATGAGGCAAAGATAATGGTTTAACTTAGACCTTGACTTTTTGTCCAGTGCTCTTTCCACAAGCTCCACCCCATCCTGGATATTGACTGAAGAGAGGAGAGCCTGATGTACTCCCAGGAGGTAGGTGGAGGTTAGCAGAGGGACAGTGATGATAGTCAGCATGAAGGGACAGGGGAGGGTGCACATTTAAGACTCTCCTGCCTGCCTTCCACCAGGAATCTTTTCCCTGGGAGAAGTGGTAGCTGCCCCTTTCAGCTGTCAAACTTCTCTCTATTCAGCTTCCCTGACAGTTCAGAATCATGAGGCCAGTGAGAACTGAAGCCAGGGCAGGACCCGGGCTGGCAGCTTCTGGCAGGCAGAATATTTACCAGGGTCACTACTACCTGCAGGGTTTCCTCGAATCCCTTGGTTCTTAAATATCATTTCAGACCATCTTTCAGGGAACATGTTTCCATGGTCCAGGCTGATTGGAGTCTGGTTACATACATACAGGCAGGAGAAATTATCTTGGATATCTTGACATGAAATCCTGTTAAAAACAGATGCACATCACTCAATGACCACTGCTCTTGTCCCAGAAGGTGGGAGGAGCCTTCCTATCACATCACTCCTTCACCTTGCAGCTAAAATATCCACTGGCTCACGGTGGATATCTACCCAAAGACAAGAGCTTCATTCTCCTCCCCAAAATCACTCACATCACCCTGGGACACACCGTCAGGTGCCCCTCTTCAGCTCCTTTATGCGCCTCTCCACTCAGTGGCCAGAAGGGGAAGGATAGAGTTAAGTTCTGGGCTCTGCAAGTCTCAGAGCACCTGGTAGTAGCTTCTTCGTCAACAGCCATCTGTCCCTACACCACTGATCAAATTGCCAGCCCTCCTGTAGCCAAAGGACAGTCACCCAGTTCTCTCTGCTTAGGGTCCTACGTGCTGCCTGGAAAATCGCCTTCCCCTAGGGCTCTTTGCCAAGTTCATTGTTGAGGTCTTTATCAGAATAAATTGGATTCAACGCCTCAAATTCACCTCCTACTGTGATGAAAGTGGAGGCATTGGAGACCTTTTCCTTTCTAATTTATATTTGTCCCTCCTCTGGTTCTTAATTTGAGCCCTGGTGGTGCAGTGGTTAAGAGTTTGCCTGCTAACCAAAAGGTCAGCAGTTTGAATCCACCAGCCACTCCGTGGAAACCCTGTAGGGCAGTTCTACTCTGTCCTATAGGGTCACTATGAGTCAGAGTTGGTTTGGTTACAGGTCTGGTTCTTAATTAGTTAAACCCAGCCTCCTTTTTAACACCTGCCAATTTCATTTAAATATGGCACTAAGTAAACCAGACAACCCTTCAGAGAAATGTCCATTTTATCCTCTAAGATGTGAGCATACAGCCAAGAATGTGTTTTTTTTAAAAACATTTAGTCATGCATAACTGCTGGGTGTGGACACAAATGTCTTACCCAGAACTCTATGCTCAGGGCTGGGAGATCAATGCTCTGTTGCCTTTTTTGTAGATTTATGCCAGGGAAGACAGTGGAGCTCTAGGCTCCCAACAAGATGGTATAGAAGATATAGGTATGATAATCATACATCCTAGTTTCCACAAGACTGTGAATTTCAAAGCTTTGCTTCCAGTATTTCCTTTTACTAATAACACATCCTAGAAACTGTAAAGTTTTAGAACTTAAATACCTTTCACACAAAGAGGGAGCACAGAAATAATTTCCTATCCAAAGTTTTTGTACTTTGGTAGAGAAAAGCAGCTCCCTCTAAACAGGTCTCTGCAAAGCTAATCTACATCCTCATAAAAGTTTGAGGAAAGGGGTAGGGGATGAAGGATTGGGCAATAAGAATTCAAAACACAATTTGTAAAGGGGAGTAAATACCAGAACTCTCCATCTTCCTTGTTCTTATACAGCTGGTCTTTACAATGGTTGTAGGTTTCCTGCCATTCCTGTGACCTGAGCATGAAAAGATAAACCATTGGGCGAGGTCTCCCAGAGTGCCTCATCTTAATCTCGAGTGGCCTGACAGGGCCCTTTGCACAGGCCTTCATTAGTTACTGGGCTTCAAAGGGAGAGTGTCACTCCACCTAGGACAGGATTCAGTCATTTTCTATGTGCTGAGGGCTTCCAAACCTCTGTCCCCCACCCAATCCTCTTTCCTGAGCTGTACATGGGTACATGCTAAAGTCCGTTCTACGTCTCCCCAGCATCCCACAGTGACTTCAAAATTAACCTGCCCCAGTCTCTTTAACAAATGATGCTGGCATAACTGGGTATCCATCTGCAAAAAAAGAAACAAGACCCGTACCTCACACCATGCACAAAAACGAACTCAAAATGGATCAAAGATCTAAATATAAAATCTAAAATGATAAAGATCATAGAAGAAAAAATAGGGACGACACTAGGAGCCCTAATACATGGCATAAACAGAATACAAACCATAAGTAACAATGCCCAAACACCAGAAGAGAAACTAGATAACTGGGAGCTCCTAAAAATCAAACACTTATGCTCAGCAAAAGACTTCACCAAAAGAGTCAAAAGGCAACCTATAGACTGGGAAAAAAATTTTGGCTATGACATATCCAATCAGGGTCTAATCTCTAAAATCTACAAGATACTGCAAAACTTCAACAACAAAAAGACAAATAATCCAATTAAAAACTGGGCAAAGATATGAACAGGCACTTCACCAAAGAAGACATTCAGGCGGCTAACAGATACATGAGGAAATGCTCATGATCATTAGCCATTAGAGAAATACAAAGCAAAACTACAATGAGATATCATCTCACTCCAGCAAGGCCAGCATTAATTCAAAAAACACAAGATAATAAATGTTGGAGAGGTGGTGGAGACACCGGAACACTTACTTATACACTGCTGGTGGAAATGTAAAATGGTACAACCACTTTAGAAATTGATTTGGCACTTCCTTAAAAAGCTAGAAATAGAAGTACCATACAATCCAGCCATCCCACTCCTTGGAATATATCCTAGGGAAATAAGAGCTGTCATACGAATAGATATATGCACACCCATGTTCACTGCAGCACTGTTCACAATAGCAAAAAGATGGAAACAACCTAGGTGCCCATCAATGGACTAATGGATAAACAAATTATGGTATATTCACACAATGGAATACCACACAACAATAAAGAACAATGATGAATCCACAAAACATCTCATAACATGGATGAATCTGGAAGACATTATGCTGAGTGAAATGAGTCAGTCCCAAAAGGACAAATATTGTATGAGACCACTATTAAAAGAACTCAAGAAAAGGTTAAAACACAGAAGAAAACTTTCTTTGATGGTTATGAGGGTGGGGAGGGAGGGAGAGGGGAATTCACTAACTAGATAGTAGACAAGAATTTTCTTAGGTGAAGGGAAGGACAACACACAATACAGGGGAAGTCAGCACAATTGGACTAAACCAAAAGCTAAGAAGTTTCCTGAACACAACCAAGTACTTCGAGGGACAGAGTAGCAGGGGCAGGGGTCTGGGGACTATGGTTTCAAGGGACATCTATGTCAATCGACATAACAAAGTTTATTAAGAAAATGTTCTGCATTCCCCTTTGGTGAGTGGCATCTGGGGTCTTAAAAGCTAGTGAGTGGCAATCTAAGATGCATCAGTTGGTCCCAACCCACCTGGTGCAAAGGACAATGAAGAACACCAAAGACACAGGGAAAATATTAGTCCTAGAGACAAAAAGGTCCACATAAACCAGAAACTCCAATAGCCTGAGACTAGAAGAACTAGATGGTGCCCAGCTACCACCAATGACTGCCCTGACAGGGAACACAACAGAGAGTCCCTGATGGAGCAAGAGAAAAGTGGGATGTGGAACTCAAATTCTAGTAAAAAGACCAGACTTAATGGTCTGATGGAGACTGGAGGAACCCCAAAAGACATGGCCCCTGGACTCATCCCAGAACTAAAACCATTTCTAAACCCAATTCTTCAGACAAAGATTAGACTGGACTATAAGACATATAATGACACCCGTGAAGAGTGTGCTTAGTTCAAGTAGATACACGAGACTAAATGGGCAACTCCTGTCTGGAGGTGACATGAAAAGGCAGAAAGGGATAGGAGCTGGTTGAATGGACACGGGGAATCCAGGGTGGAAAGGAGGAGTGTGCTGTCACATTATAGGGATAGCAACTAGGGTCACATAACAATGTGTGTATAAATTTTTGTATGAGAAACTAACTTGAGCTGTAAACCTTCACTTAAAGCACAATTTAAAAAAAATTTAAGTGAAAAATTAACCTGTCCCAAATGCTACTCATCCTCTTCCTCCTCCTATTGCCCAAGCGAGGACATTAGGAATTGTTCTTAATGCTTTCTCTCTCTCTCACATCCCTCACATCCAAACAATTCAAACTCTTAAGCACCTCTCAAAGCCACCCACTTATTTCCATCCCTGCTGCTGTTGTCTTAGACAACTCTCATCTCCCACTTGGACTTCTAACTGGTCTCACTGAACTCAGTCCTCCCTACCCACTTTCCTATCCATTCTCCACACTGCCATTAAAATGATCTTTCTAAAATGCAAATCTGACTATGCCATTTCCCTGCTTAAAACACATCAAAACCAAAAAACAAACAAACAAACAAAAACAAACCCATTGCCGTCGAGTCAATTCCATCTCATAGTGACCCTATAGGACTGAATAGAACTGTCCCATAGAGTTTCCAAGGAGCACCTGGTGGACTCAAGCTGCCCACCTTTGGGTTAGCAGCTGTAGCACTTAACCACTACACCACCAGGGTTTCCTGAAACACATCAGTGGTCCTTTATTACTCTCAGGATGAAATTCAAACCTCTCAACAGAATCTGTAAGCCCTATAGCGATTGGACTCTGCCCATCCTCCAGCTCTACCTCGGTAATTCCCCCATCCACCCCCACCCCCCCACACCCTTGAATCCCATACTCTAGCAATAATGAAGGTCTTTCAATCCCTTAAATAAAACACCTGCCCTCACACCTCTGAGCCTTCACCATGATGCTCCACTTGGAACACTCTTCTTTCTCTCAGTTCTATAACTGGCTAGCCCTTACTCATCTCTCCTCCTGAAAAGCACTTCCTCTGGGAAGCCTTGCCTATCCCCTTCTGCTCCTGAGTCAGTGCCCCTTCTTTGAGCTCCTACAAACCCTGTGCTATGCCTGCCTCAGCACTTATCACACTCGGTTACAATGGCTGGCTTATTTGTTGCTATCCCTCACTAGACACCAAATTGCATGAAGTCAATGAGCCTTGCTCACTATAATATCACTGGTGTTTAACACAATGCCTTTGCACAGAGTTGGCACGCAACAATTTTTCTCAATTAATTGCTACACCTGCAGGACCTACCACAATGTTTCAAATAGTAGATGCGCAATATGTTGGTTGAATAAATGACTTTTCACAACTGCTGCAGTGCAGTCCTGCTTTAACGTGGTTGTTTGCTGTGAGCCCGAGAGTGACTGGCTGGGTTGAGCACAAATTTCTCAGCACAAATCATTTAGGACGCTGCGCCTGTTTCTTGACTTTCTGAAGGAGCAGATGCTCTCGTGGGATCCAGATGATGCCTAAATGGGGCCTAAATTTTGAGGTACTTCTGGCCCATTTCAGACGTACAATTCTTTCGCTTCAAGTCACTTTGGTCATCTGGAGGTGGTGACTTTGCAAAGATCCCAGAACTGAGGAATGTTAATAGCTGTATCCTGTGATGAGTGCTGTTATGGACTGAATTGTGTCCCCCCTAAATATATGTCAACTTGGCTAGGCTATGATTCTCACTATTGTGTGGTTGTCCTCCGTTTTGTGATCTGATGTGGTTAACCTCCATTTTGTGATGCATTGTAAATCCTTGCCTCTATGCTTGTGGTTATGGTCCCATTTGGGAGTGAGTTGTCCATTAGGTTAATGAGGCAGGATTCGGTCATGTTAAAGAGGATTAGGTTGTGTTTGTTATGCTAATGAGATAGGATTAGTGGAGGATAGGACACCCTTACTCAGGTCACAGCTCTGATCTGATGTAAGGGGAGTTTTCCTGGGGTGTGGACTGCATCACCTTTTATTTTACAAGAGATAAAAGGAAAGGGAAGTAAGCAGAGAGAGAAGGGACCTATTACCACCAAGAAAGAAGAGCTGGGAGCAGTGCATGTCCTTTGGACCCAGGGTTCCTGCACTGAGAATCTCCTAGACCCAGGGGTAGATTGATACCAAGACACATGGAGATTTCAAAGGAAAGCCCAGCCCACAGATGTTGAAAGGAGACAAGGACCTTCCCCCAGAGGCAACAGAGAGATAAAGTCTTTCCCTAGGGCTGGCGCCCTAATTCAGACTTCTAGCCACCTAAACCATAAGAGGATAAATTTCTGTTTGTTAATGTCATCCATTTGGGGTATTTCTGTTATAGCAGCACTAGATAACTAAGACAAATGTTTAAAATAGAGTTAAAGAGGAGCCCTAAAGAGGGTGACCAGGTGGGTGAGAAATCTGGAAACCATGCCACCTGAGAAATAGAACAATCTTATTTGCTTAGCTGAAGGGAGAAATTCTAGAGCAGAGATCTAAAGTAGGGTGCTTTCAGGTGGAAGACGAGGTTTACCTCTTCAGGACTAGAAAGATCAATAAGTGTAGGGAGGCGCGAGAAGGGCTTAGCAACTGGTGCTCTCCAACAGCGGGCTGGGCTGCCTTTGGTGAGAAGACCACGCCCTTGGGGGGGCTAGATGACCATCTGTCAGGGGTGTTAGAGGAGGAGTTTATCTTCAGTGGGAGGTTGAACTAGTTGAGCTGTATAGTGTACCAAAAATAAAATGGATTTTTCTATCATTGTTCTCTACCCTTACTAGCTGGGTCACCTTGGACAAGTACCTTAATCATGCTAAGCCTCAATGAGCCAAAGTATGAATCAGCAATAATAATTCCTACCTCAAAATGTTGT